AATCCTTGGAAAATGCGTTTTCATAGTTTTAGCAGCGATATAATGTAGAATAATGTAGCAGAGCATAGCAGGTCGTGGACCTGAGGTTCGAGGACTCGGATAATATAGCGTGGCCATGCCCTAACACATCATACCAGCTCCAGGACCTGATAGTATAGACACCTCATGCTATAGGTCTCCCAGAGCCTCTCAATGGTCTACGGAGCGCCTAGGGGCGCACGGGCTCTCAAGGGCTAACGGAGGCTCCACGTGGCTCCCGCGGCCGGTGTCAGGGGTTCCTGTGTATTAAGAGGTTCTTACATGTTCCCAGGGAGGCTCCCAGGAGCTTCTACAGGCTTCGAATCTGGGGCTGGGGTCAAATGGGTTCGCAGGGGCTTCAGTGGTTTTAAGTATACTGGAGGCTCCCAGGGGGGCTATCGCGGTCGGGTCCGGGGCTCTCTGTCTTCGCAGAGGCTCCATGGTGGGATTCCCGGAGCTTCCAGATGTTTCCAAGGTTTCTTGTGTTTAATGTGTTTTAGGGGTTTTCAGGGGCTCTCAGGGGGTCTCAGGGGCTCTCAGGTGTCTCTGGAAGTTCCCTAGCATTTAGAAAACGTCATGTTACAGCAAGGCCGTCGCATAACATAGTACAGCATAATAGCTCGAAGACCTGATGCGATAGGAACCTCATGTTATGGCGTGGCTGTATCATAGAAACGACGAAAGAGGCGAGGTTCCCCCAAATCTAGGGAATCTCTTGTCATAGCGTGGCCGCGACATATTGTAGCACAGCATAGCAGGTCGTCGACCTGAGGTTCGAGGACCCGGATGGTATAGCGTGGCCATGCCATAATATACCACACCATACCAGCTCCAGGACATGATATTATAGACACCTCATGCTATAGCATGACGATAGGGATAGCAAATCACCTACGTCAGACGCGAGGCTCTCCTGAATTAAGTGAGTTTCCAGTGTAGCGTGGCCATGGCATAACAGAGCACAACATAACAGCACCAGAGCTTAGAAGACCTTGATAGTATAAGCTGACATCTTCCGAAACATAGAAAGTGGTTCAATATCCAGGGTTCAACGCTACATAACGAAACGTGGTCCCAGCAGAGGCCGCATTGCAGACAAGCTGGCCCATGAGCGCGACAATACCAGCTCCAGGACCTCATAATATAGACACCTCATGTTATAGCATGACAATAGGGATAGCAAAGCATTCACGTCAGACGCCAGGCTCCCTGAATTAGGGGAACTGCCATTGTAGCGTGGCCATGGCATAACATAGCACAACATAATAGCACCAGAGCTTAGAAGGTCTTGATATTATAACATGATATCTTCCGAATCATAGAAAGTGATGTAAGATCCATATGTCAAAGCTACATAACGGGAGCAGGCACAAGAGTACAAATAAGAAGCTCATAAGACGTTGATATTATAGATCAGAGATCGGAGCTTATAAGACCTTGATATCATAGCGTGGAGATCTGCCGAAAGTACGAGGAACATTCACAAAAGTAGCATCGAATATCAAAGGACATACGAAAGACACAGGGTTCCCCAAGAATTGGGGACCCCCTTGTTATAGCTAGGCCATGGCACAGCCTGGCATAGCATAGCTCATACGTATGGTCGTCCCATGGCTCTGGGGACTTCATTGTGAAGCATAGCATGGCATAGCACAGCATAGCAACCATGGGACCTCTCACCCAACAACCAGACACGATGCGGAACAGGCGATAGCCCGTAAGATACAGACACAGTCACTACAGAAGCAAGGGGTAGACCATAAGAAATATCACCACTCATACCAATAGCACCTGATGATAAATGAAGTAATGATTGATCCCATGGTAGAAACACCAGCAATGATGGACGATCTACGAGCACGACACTTGTTCGCGGCACCAGGGTTCGCGGTCACAGACATCTGGCGCTCCAGAGGTACAGGCTGTTTAAAGGGAACGGCAGCCCGAAAGGAATCCCAAATGGGATGCTTCAAATTCCCCACGCATACAGCGCTAGGACAGAGAAAAGATAATGGTACAGGCAGGAGCATGGGAGATAGGAGTACTGAATGAAGGTGTGCAAGAGGTTGGAGTACAGGGATGGAGTGCAGGGCCATGCTTGGGCACCCACCTGCGGTGGCTATCAATCCCCCCCGCAACCTATGCCGTCTTGGAGCCCTCTTGGGATATCAATTCCCCCCCGCATGAAGGCTCCTATGAAGGTGTGCAAGAGGTTGGAGGACTCTGATAGTACAGCGCGTGGCCATGCAATGATATAGCAGAGCATACCAGCTCCAAAACATAATATAACACATAACATATAGCAGCATGATAATATAGCGCGGCCGTGACATAATATAAAACAGCATAGCAGGTCGTGGTCTTAAGCTTATAGGATCACGCTAGTATAACGTGGCCATGCCATACTATAGCACAGCATGACAGCTCCAAGACCTCATGTTATAGGAAGCTCAGGTTATAGCGTGACTCGCAAGAGAGAAGCATAGGGCCAAACACTTGTTTTTCGAAGCCCGCAGTCGCTTCGGTCGTCAGTACCGGGGTGCCCATAGGGAACGCTGGCACCGAAGATAGAGAAAGCTGCACAAAGAAACGGCAGCCGGGCAGATACCCCAAGTGGGGTAGGTGAAACAGTCCACAGAAAGGTGCATAAAGAAACGGCAGCCGAGCAGATACCAGGCCACAGGTAGGCACTGGTAAACAGGTCGGCACTGGAATCCCTCTTCCTCCTTCTCCTCCTCCTCGATCTCCTCCTCCTCCTCCTCCTCCTCCTCCACGTCCGCCTCCTCCCCCTCCTCCGGCTCTTCCCTTCTCCTTCTCCTTCTCCTCTTCCTTTTCCTCCTCCTCTCCTCCTCCTCTTCCTCTCCCTCATTGCAGGTGCGTGAACGAATACAGCAGAGAAAAAGACCGCACATAATAGACTGCCCGCACGCTCGTATCCACCATCGGCAGCGCGACATCACCTATCATAGTCGCGCCTCCGGTCGCCCAGAGAAGCCGGTCCAGAGACTGGGGATCCGCGCTCCGAGATAGCATCGCCCCAGCGCTGTTTTACAGCGATAGGCATTGCAGATAAAAACGTGCCGTCGTAAGCAGCAAAATGAGCTAGCGCTCCAGGCCAAGTGGAAGGTAGAGAGGAAATGATTCTTGCATGGATGATTACTGCATTGATATATTTGTATCCATGATGGTGACATAGGTCCCCAAACAGTAGTAGGAGTATGAGAGTGGATGAGTGCACAGACGCATTCAAATTCCTCACGCATAGAGCGAGAGGACAGAGAAAAGAGAATGGTACAGGCAGGAGCACGGGAGATAGGAGTACATAATGAAGGTGTGCAAGAGGTTGGAGTACAGGGGTGGAGTGCAGGAGTACAGGGTGGAGAAGTACATGAGATAGGAGGAGGTGCGGAGGACAGGATATAGGAGTGCAGCTGTATACACATAGCGTGCACCGCGACGCCGCGAGCTGGAGGGAGGAGCGGAGGACAGGAGACAGGAGTGCCACTGTATAGTCCCAGTGCGCACCGCGACGCCGCGCGCCAGCGCACAAGGACCGCACATAACAGACACTTGCGGAGCGGAGAGAAGAGTACAGGAGATGTAGCATAGGAGATGGGAGTACAGGAGTGCAGGAGATGGAGGGATGAGCGGAGCACGATGATATAGGATTGCGGGATTGAAGGCTTACAGGATGGGAGCACAGGGATGGGATAGGAGTATAGGCGAGAGGAGTACATGAGATAGGAAGAGGAGCGGAGGACAGGAGATAGGCGTGTCCAGGACACGCGCAAGTCAACACTGTTCATATAAGCCAAGCTCCGCGTATGCGGCCAGCTCAGACGCGCCGCCTGCAAAGGCGGACATGGTCTCGAGGATGGAGTAGCGCGAGTCCTCGTCCTCCTCGTCAGGATCGTCATGGTCCGTGTTCGCCTCGGACTCCGTCTCTTCGTCCCGTGGTCCGGGCCCGTACTCGTCGTCGGAGTCACTCTGGGCCGATCTCATAGTCTGCTCGTCTGGGTCGTCCTGTCTCATGCTCACCGGTAGCCAATCTGTGCGCCGAATAGAGCCAAAGTGGTAGATGCGCTCGGCGAGCCGGAAGCGGCTGGCACCCACGTAGCCATAGCCCCGCTCCTGCGGATAACAGTGATCAAAATAGAGCGCACCAAGCCCAAGAGAAGATCCTTGGGCCCTGCGGATGGTGGTAGCATAGCCATAGGTGCACGGCAAGAAGTAATCGCCTCCGTCGGTGATCGGGTGCACGAGGAGACGGTGCTTGGTGCCCGTGAGCGTCACCGTAAAGATAGACTTGTTCTCCAGCACAACATCGATAGTGCCATTGGCGCCGTTGACGAAGCCCCGCTCCTTGTCGAGGTTCCGCGTGAGCCGAACAACCACACCAGGAGCAATGAATTGCCGCTCCTTGCCAGCTACCTGGGACAGCCTCCCTCATGTTGACAGGCTGGTTGGCCCAGAGATCACACTGACTGCGACAGGGCGATGCATCGGCGACGTGGACGTAGCAGATTAACAAAAGACAGACCACGGAGATACATGGCCGATGCATGGGCAAGCAATCCCCAGATCATCCACCCACACACCATTCGGAAAGCATAGAACCTTGGGGTCCCCGCAGAGCGGCGACTGGTTCTCAGGCTTGTCGTAGCCACACGCCGATAGACACGCCGAATTCACCGCCTCGGCCCCCTTGTTCGTCACCGTGAGCCAGTGGAAGGGCTCCTCCAGATAAGCGCCGATGGCCATGCCCCTCTGCACGGCCTGCTCAAGGGTGATGGAGTCCCACGTGCGCCCGGCGAAGAAGGACCGGATGACCCCCTTTGTGCGGCTGCCTCAGGCGAACATGCCGCAGGAAAGATAAGAGACGATCATCGTTTGTCCTGTGTATAGTGTACAGTGAGATGGTGGTCATGACCGTGATCCACGTCCGCATAGCCGCCGAACTTCCGAGCGGATTCAGCTGCTGGAAGTCCGCCGCAAAGAAGATCGTGGGCCGCTGCGGCAGCTCCCTGAAGCCGTTGTGCAAGCGCACAGCCACGTCGTCCTCGATCTGCGACGCCTCATCGATGATGAAGTGGTCATAGGTGCGGAGGCGCGACGGAGGCGCATAGTCAACGACGGTATCGGCTCTGCGATAGATGTGCCACGCAGAGTGTATGGTCTCCACGTTGATGTTCTCGTGCTGCACCTTGGTCTTATAGGTGTGCACCAGAGTGCCGGTGGGACCAAGAATGAGAACGTGGAGACCAGCGTCCGCGGCCCTGCGGGCAGCTTCGCACAGGACCTCCGTCTTGCCGCTGCCTGGCTCCCCATTCGCATAGTAGAACTGCTGCTGTACGATGTTGGCGTCGGCTCTGGATAGAACACCATCCACCACCTTCAGCACCTCCTCCTGGTCGGCAGACCACGTGATGCGAGGGCGCGCATGCGCGTCACATTTGTTCCACTGCTTCTTGTACTCGTTGTAGTATGCGAACTGCGCGTCAATAGTCGGATCAGCCTCCATCAGGCGGTCTGCTTTTCGGCGGACATCAAGCGGGATGGCGTCCTGGTGGTCGCGGCAGTGCTGCATGTGGTTATAGTAGCAGCGCATGGCATGGAGCCGCGCTCGGAACGACCTTGCACGCCCAGAAGACGCGGATGCGCAGGTCCGCCGCCACCACGTCCTCGAAATAATCGAGCGCCGCGTCAACGCCGTGGAAGGGCTTACCATAGGCGCCCTCGGCATCATCAGCACATCTCAGAGGATGGAACAGCTGATCTCCAGGGCGCGCAGGCACGTCCTCGGAGTCGTCTGACCGCGCGGGAGGGAGCCAAGGCCAATTGTCGTAGGGCTCCCAGCTGTACTCATGGAGACGGTCCGCGATAGCCTCCACGGGCGCATCGAACAGCTCGACGATAGACGTGGCGTTCCTGGCGAAGCCAACCCAGCGGGTGCTCTTCATCTTCGCCAGAACGCGGAGGCGATAGTGTTCTTCTGCCTCTTCCTCCTCCTGCGGCATCATCTCTTTCACCCGCTGGCGAATATACTCTTCGCAAGAAGGGCGCGTGCCCGTCATGCGCGCGAGGTGCTGAAGGTATTTCATTGCCTTCAGATAGTGCTGCGTGAAAGGGATCAACTGGGGATCCCCTTGTGGCGGCGCAAAAGTACCGGAGTCTCCGTGCGGGAACATCATAGTGCAGAACTGGTCGATGAAATTGTCCTGCGTCTCGAATGCAAAGCGGACGCCCGCCGCCGCGCGGGAGTCGCCCCCGCGCCCTCTGCGCTCGATGACATTCTGGTGGTCCTCCGACAGTTTGTAGGTACGGAGATAGCTCAGAAAGCTGCCACACGGCTTCGGTCCATCACCGACGGGGGTCCGCAACATATACTTCTTATAGAGCCGCTTGGTGTCATTGCTGCCCTTGTCAACCTGCCCTGGTATGATAGCGTACGCGTTGACGACGCCGAACGTACGATACATGTGTTTGGCGCCTGCAAAATCCAGGAAGACCTCCGGCAGTCCCGGCGCCAGCTTGCACGGCATACGGTAGGTCGTGCGCCGCGCCGAGTGTTCGTCTCCGGCGCTTCGCGCGGCGTCAGGCTTATAATCCATAGACTTGTTGCCCTTGACGACGTAGCCGTTGATTTAGTTCATAAACCCATAGCCCTCCTGGACGTCCACAGAGCCGTGGAACACTTCCTCCAAGAACATCACGAAAGCAGATCGATCCGCCTGGCCGCTACGGCCAGATAGATTCCCTTTCGGGCGCACCCAGGCTGCAATATGGATGTGCTCGGTCTTGCGGCCCTGGAACTCCAGGCGAATGACATAGTCGAACACCTCTTCGAAGAACTCGTTCGGGCGGAGAATCTGCTTCATCCCATCGAAAAGCAGGTCATAGATGTGCTCGGGCAGCATCCCCTGACACGCCGACATGCGGTCCGCGGCCTTCCAGTCGGCGAATAGCGGCTCGTGCAGGAGGACCTTCCATTCCGCCGGAGCGATAGTGATGAACAGGTTGGGGAAAGCCCTCCGCTGCCCCCGAAGCTGGGCGTGCTGCCGCACGACATCGCATAGGAGGTCCTGCTGATGGTCGTCGTCGTCGTCGTCGACGTCGTCACCGTGGTGGTGGTGGACGTGGTCGTCGTCACTCATCTTCACTCGTCGTCACTGGTGATGATGGTGATCGCCAGTCGTCCGTCATCGTCGTCTTCGCGTCTCGCTCGTCGTCGTGCCTCATCGCACTCGTCGTCGTCGTCGGAAGGTCCTGCTCGTGACGCCATTAGCTCTCGGACGTAGAGCAGTTGTCCGCCACGACGTCCGGCGTGATGCCTCGGCGCTCCGCGATAGCAATGCTGGCGGAGATGCGCTGCGCGGTTGCCATGTCATAGAGCAGGAAGGCAAGGTCCGGCACGGCCTCCGCGTCGCCATAGGTCCGGCAGCGGGAATGGACTTTCCGCAGGAAGCTATGCTTGATAGTCGGGAGCTGGGACTTCTTCACGAGCTGGCGGTCCTTGGCCCAGCTGCTCACGTCGCTGTCGCCGTACACCTCCCAGGGATAGAGCACAGGGTAGAGCGCCACCTCAATGCCCCGACTCTGGATGAGCAGCCGATAGGTGGCGATGAACATCTCCCGGTACTCCGCAGGAGCGGCCAGCTCCCGCTTGTGCTGCATGACGTGGCGCCTATATGTGCGGTTGTGCAACATGAGCCAGTTATACGCAGCCCGCGCCCGGGGAGTCATAGCACCACGCGTGTCCAAGTCCTCGCGCTTGTAGTTGACCCGGCACACCTGAGTCTTCTTCCAATTATAGGTAGGTCCCCTGGTGACAGAGCCCCGCTCCTTCTGCTTCGTGACGAAGAGCAGGAACGGCGTGATGGTGGCGGCCTCCTCCTTCGTGATGTCCAAGAGGCTTACGATGCCTTCCGTGCCGTGCTCCCTCGCGAAATCTCCATAGATGGCATACTCCTGCACCAAGGTCTCCAGCTCGTCCACATCCATGGGGCCCACGGGACCTTCGCGCATCGCCTGGCGCATGGCCGCGAGGCGCGGACCGAAGTCATAGGCAGTCACGAACCGCTGAAGACCAGGCAGATAGACTGGCCAATGGTTCTCCTGCGGCACCAGATAGAGCTGCTCGGTCTTGACGCCCGCCTCTATCTCCGCGGGCAGAGGCCGCAGGAGCGCCTCCAAAGGGAGAGGGCATCTGGTGCCATAGCCCCGGTCGCCACAGGTGAGGACCCGAGGGAGACGACTGACACGGTCTGAGCGGAGCGTGTCACCATAGACCAACCTCTCCCCAGAAACCTGTCCTTTGTGAACCTGCCACCGGTAGCCGCGCTGCTGGCAGGAGACCCAGTTCTCGTAGGCGATGAAGAAGCGATAGCCCTGAAGCAGCGCAGCGCCACGTCGCCCAGAGGGAAGCGCAGTACGACACGGCAATGCGCCATAGCACGCCGCCGAGAACTCCCGTCGACGCTCCGCATCCCAACGACGGATAGTGGCTGCCCTGTGGCGCGCCTCCCCCAGCATCCAGAGCGGCACCGCCTCGCGGTGGACGGACTTGATCACAGCCTGCAGAGCCTTGTCCTCGTCTGTCTTCGCACGCACGCGCCGAGCCCAGCAGGTAGCAGCGCAGTCCACGCACTTGTCCTGAGGATGCCAAATGATAGACTCAAGGACTATTGGACGCGCCAAAGCACGCTGCTCAAATATAGCATCGGGCCCCACACTGGTTTGGATGTGGAATAGATATGCCAAATCTTTTTAGAAACATATGATATATTGGGATAGCCCCAGGGGTGCCCTTAACAAACGCTAGGTTAGCCAGGTCCTAAGTGCCAAAAGCATCAAGGCGAAAACTGTATATTCATAGATAATCCTGCAACCAACGAAAAAAATAATTTCAATTGCCTAGCCCCAGTCCTTCCAGACACGCCGAACAGGGCGCTCGCCAGCATCGGGCGCACAGTGCTCAGACGTCCAGCGTCGGAGCACAGCCAAGGAAACACCACGTTCATTGTGATCTTGCACAGCCTTGCGCCGCGCCGCAGGCTCTGCGAGATCCTGGACTAGTCGCTGCACAACGGGGGCCTCCTGATCGCCGCACAGGAACTCATGGGACAGAGAACCGTGCTGAATCATGATGCGACGGATGACCGACTCGTGGCGGGCAGATAGCACTTGCCCGAGCCGAATCTCCAGCTGGCGGGAGATGTGATGCCGGCCTGCTTTGGGATGCAGCGCCATGAGCTCCTTTATGTCATCCACGTGCTGCCGCAGGTTCCCGACGAAGTGCGGCAAGTTCTGGCGCTCGGGCTGCCGTCGCAAAGACACGCCCACGGCGGCGCGGCCCTCGGAGAGCTCGCGCATGACGCGCTCGACCACCTGCACGTGGGCCTCGGATAGTCTGACGCCGAGCTGCTCCGCCAGCTTGCGCCCGATGGTCCTGTACCCCAATCCCGGGTGAGAAGCGACGAGCTCCTGGATAGCATCCACGTGCTCCCGCACGTCCCCGGAGAAGATCTCGAGATCAGTCTGCTTTGGCATTGCCATATCATCAGCCACGAGCTGGATACCGATCTGGGCCATCACACCGCGGATTGCTTGCTTCTCGGCATCGGATAGCTCCACCTGCACCTTCTCCTCAAGCTGATGTGCGACGCCCTGATAGTCCATGCTGGTGTCTTGCATCATGATCTCCTCGATGGTCGCAATGTGGTCGCGCATGTCCACAGCGCCTGCCGCGCAGTCTTCTGGCTCCCGCTGCGCGCCCGGCACAGCACGGCCCTGCGAGATTCCCTCCACGATGCGCCTCACGACACTCAGGTGGGCATGGGATAGCTTGAATCGGATGTGCCGCTCGAACTCCTTCGCAATGCCCCAGTAGCCCATGCCAGGGTGGGCCACAACAAGTGCTCTGATAGAGTCGACATGCTCCCGCATGTCGCCAGAGAAGTCGTCCCACTCCTGGCGCGGAGCCTCCGCCGCGCGACCCTCCGCGAGCTCGCCCTTGATGCGTCGCACAACCAAAAGGTGCGCGCAGGATAGCTTCACGCCGAGCCTCTGCTCCAGCTTGCGCCCGATAGATCTGCATCCCAACTCCGGATGAGAGGCCACGAGCTCCTTGATAGAGTCCACGTGCTCACGCACGTCGCCGGAAAAGATCTCGTCGACGTCCGTCTGCTCTGGCATAGCCACCTCTTCGGCCACGAGGTCGATGCTGATCTCGGCCATGACAGCAGGGATGCATTGCTTCTGGCTCTCAGATAGCTCCACCCCGAGCACCTTCTGAAGCTCGTGGGCGATGCCATGATAGTCCATGGCCGGGTGACGCGTCATCAGCTCCATGATGGTGGCAGCGTGGTCGCGCACATCCAGAGGGACAGCCTCATAGTTCTCCGGCTCCCGCTGCGCGCCCAGCACAGCACGGCCTTGCGAGATGCCCTCCACGATGCGCCTCACGACACTCAGGTGGGCAGGGGATAGATTCAACGGGATATGCTGCTCGAACTCCTTCGCAATGCCCTTGTAGCCCATGCCAGGGTGAGCCACAACGAGTGCTCTGATAGAGTCGACGTGATCCCGCATGTCGCCGGAGAACTCTTCCCACTCCAGCGCGACCGCATCATTCGACAGCTCGGTCATGATGCGTCGTACAACCTGCAGCTGCGCGCAGGATAGTTTCACGCCGAGCCTCTGTTCCAGCTTGCGCCCGATAGCCGTGTACCGCAACTCCGGATGAGAGACAACGAGCTCCTTGATAGAGTCCACGTGATCACGCACGTTCCCAGAGAAAAGCGCAGACGCTGGGCGCTTCCGACACGACATTGCGTGTCACGATAGGCTACACACCGGCAGCCGACCGGCGCGAACCGCACAGGCCCGCTGCGTACCTGGCGGAAGAATTGTTGCGGATGGAAAGTGGTGGACAAAACAGCAGCTTACATGCTGTCTCATTCTTACAGAATAGCAAGAACCTGATCCTATAGGAACCTGATATTATAACGTGAGTATACGCCTAGATACGGACCTACGAACGACGCGAGGTACCCGAAAATCCGGGGAACCTCATGTTATAGCGTGGCCGTGACATAATGTAAACCCCAGAGCAGTTCGTAGAACTAAGGTTATATGACCCCGCTAGTATAACGTGGCCATGCCATAATATAGCACAACATGACACCTCCAAGACCTAATGCTATAGGAATCCAGTCTATAGCGTGACTGAGGGATAGCAAAGCACCTAAGTCAGACGCAAGGTTCCCCGGCATTAAGAGAACATCATATTATAGCGTGGCCATGGCATAACATAGCACACCACATCAGCACCGGAGCTTAGAAGACCTTGATATTCCAGCGCGGAGATCTTCCGCAACTATGAGGAACCCATGTTATAGCACAACAGTAGCAGCGTAGCAGAGGACATGCGAAGAACACATGAGGTTCCCCATAGCATAGCATAGCATAGCATAGCATAGCACAGCATGGCAAAACACAGATTACCCAACAAGTGGGTAACCTATGGTGTAGCATAGCACAGCATAGCATAGCATAGCACAGCATGGCAAAGCAGAGTTTCCCAAAACAGTGGGGAACCTATGGTGCAGCATAGCATAGCATAGCATAGCATAGCATAGCACAGCATGGCAAAGCATAGGTTACCCAAAAAGTGCGTAACCTATGGTGTAGCATAGCATAGCATAGCATAGCATAGCATAGCACAGCATGGCAAAGCATAGGTTACCCAAAAAGTTGGTAATATATGGTGTAGCTTAGCATAGCATAGCATAGCACAGCATGGCAAAGCAGAGGTTCCCCAACAAGTGGGAAACCTATTGTGTAGCATAGCCTAGCATAGCATAGCATAGCATAGCACAGCATGGCAAAGCATAGGTTACTCAAAGAGTGGGTAACCTATGGTGTAGCATAGCATAGCATAGCATAGCATGGCATACCACAGCATGGCAAAGCATAGGTTACCCAAAAAGTGGGTAACCTATGGTTTAGCATAGCATAGCATAGCATAGCACAGCATTGCAAAGCAGATATTCCTCAAAAAGTGGGGAACCTATGGTGCAGCATAGCATAGCATAGCATAGCATAACATAGCACAGCATGGCAAAGCATAGGTTACCCAAAAAGTGGGTAACCTATGGTGTAGCATAGCATAGCACAGCATGGCAAAGCAGAGGTTACCCCAAAAGTGGGTAATCTCTGGTGTAGCAAAGTCGCCCCATAGCAGGTCGTAGACCTACGCTTATAGGATCACGCTAGTATAACGTGGCCATGCCATAATATAGCACAGCATGACAGCTCCAAGACCTGATGCTATAGGAAGCTCAGGTTATAGCGTGACTCGCAAGAGAGAGGCATAGGGCCAAGCACCTGCTTTTCGAAGCCCGAAGTCGCTTCGGTCGTCAGTATCGGGGTGCCCATAGGAAACGCTGGCACCGAAGATAGACAAAGCTGCACAAAGAAACGGCAGCCGAGCAGATACCCCAAGTGGGGTAGTTGAAATAGCCCGTGCGTGGGCAGAGACAGCAGTCTGGAGTATGGGAGTGGATGAGTGCACAGACGGAGATAGGAGTATCGGATGGGTGGAGCATAGCAGTGGATGAGGTTGTACCCGGGCGTGGCCACAGGTAGCAGGAGCAAAGGTACAGGCATGCAAACGACTGCAAAGCATAGAAACTTATTGGTCTTGCAGACCGCGGCAGTGGAAGCACAGAGCGCTACTGCATGATACATGTATAGACAATGAGGTCGAGCAAGCTGTAATTTGATTGCGACAGGATATCCCGCATGCCGTTGCGGAAAAAATAGCGGTCTCGTATTCCCAAATCGCCCATTTCCTGATGCGTTTTTGCGGACGTGCACGGACATAGAACGCAACACACGCCAATCGTCGACAGAATCACTGTGCTCACGCCGATCTGCCAGCACGATAGAACGCGCAAAGCGCACTGTCGTGTAAGTAATCTGGTCATGATAGCGGCCGAACCCCGCATCCTTCATGACATCCATGATACGCGCGACGGAAATGGTGGTGCCGGCTTCCTCCAGATAGTACGCGATGCTCTTTGACAGAATGGCAAACTTTCGACGGTTCCTGCATAGATAATAATACGTACCAAGCGGGGTCTGGCGCTCGGAAGGGTTGCGCAGAGGATGCTGTCCAACGGTCCCAGCGCATAGATTTCCATCACGATAACGCATGTGCTGGAAAATCACCGAAACACGCTTCCCCATGGCTCTCATAGCCGACGCGCGGTTGAGCATCGAGGGCGATCGCAAAATGTCCCAGCACATAGCCACCATAGGCGCCTCCCAGTATACTTGATAGAGAAAGACAAATGAGAAAACGACAAGATGGAGAGGCGCGAGGTGATCGACTAACATAGTCCAAATCGTTCGACATGCACGTACATCAGCACGGCTGCCCGCGGAGTGAATAGCGCAGCCGGTGCAATCTTGTACCCGCAGGTTGTCACGATAGCGAGCCCACGTGGGGTGGTACACCTCGAACATATGATTTTGCATGTGTCGATAGCTTGTCCAGCACACCCAACCGACGTCCGCGTGGAGCCATCTCTGCCCTGCGTGGCGGCGCTCACAGTACAGACAGTACTTAGTACCGGAGTGGAAGGAGGACGGCATAGGCGGCCCACAGAGCTCTCGCAGGACCTACTTTCGATCAAAACGCCTAAGCCAAAACTGCAGCGACACGCACACATAACATACACATCACATGACGCATAGAAGGGGAACATACTGTTCTGGCGTGGTTCTAGTATAGCTCATCATAGCAAAACTAAGCACGCCAACAAAAAAACAGCATCAAGTTGTAGAAGGACTATAGTATAGCATAGCATAGACACAAGCTATCTCACACATTTGTTCCTATAGCGTGCCCGTAGCACATCATGCCAGAGCAAGGCGGTAGCATAGCATAGCGTAGCAGAGCATGGCCATGCCATAATGATAGTATAGCATGGCCATGCCAGGAACTAAGTTCCCCAAAAAGTGGGGAACCTATGGTGTAGCATAGCATAGCATAGCATGGGACATGGCAAGTATGAACAAAAGACTGCGCGCACATAGATGTGACAACTTTTTGACGACCTATGCGGTACTACTATAGCATAGCGGCGGGACAATCTGTAAGTAAATGAGGTGCAAACATGCACATGTAGACAGCGTGTCATCATCTTCTGCAGCATCACCATCATCAGCATCATCATCGTCATCACCATTATGATCATCATCATCATCACCATTATGATCATTATCATCATCGTCATCATCATTATCAGCATCATCATCGTCATCGCATCATCATCATCAACATCCTCATCAACAGCCGCATGGCAGAGTCATCAAGACGGCTCCAAGACGGCCCACGATAACTCCAAGACGGCACAAGAGGGCCCCAATAATACCACAAGAGAGGCCCCAGGGGGGGAATCACAAAACAATAATTCGAGCCCTCGGCCCTCAGAAGTCCCCCCGAGACCCCAAGAGGACTATAAGAGGCACCGGGAGGCTCCCAACAAGCCCTCAGGAGGCCCCCAAGAGGCCCCAAAGCGGCGTCTGCAGGTCACCCTCATGCCTCTCCCACCACGCAAGCAAGTGCCAGCGACGCTACACGATGGGCCGGCGGAATGAGCGAAGCGATTCAATAAGTGAACTGACGTCATAGAGTGACCTCACAACCAAAACATATATGAACATCTAAGTATAGAGTGATTGAAGCAGAGCATAGCAGAGGACAACCGCCTGAGAAGAGACACGCCGTTGAAATAGATCGAAACATCGCATGCGCATATGCGCAGAAAATGAGACATAGACAACACTGGACATGGTAGAAATAATAACACAGTCCAATGGAATGTCATGCCAAAGACCATGAGATAGAAATCGCAATAGTGTGAACGTGATATGCTATGCCACGCCTCTCGTATGTTATCCCAGCATAACATAGATTACAAAAGGCGAGTTCCACATCATCTGAGTAACCTCAGCTTCTAGCGTGGCTGCCGCATAACATCAAGCGTGCCGAAACATAAATGGATCAAGATGGAGACCAATGTCGAACTGTGAATCATATATAGTTCGGCTTCACGACAACCCAAGACAGCCCAAGAAGGGCCTGAGACAGCCTCAAGAGAGCCCTAGACCCCCCACCCTGACAAGATATCCCAAGAGGGCTCCAAGACGGCCCATGAGACCGCCAAGACGGGGCCTCCCAGATGTTCCCAAGGCGTCCCTGTGCTTACTGTGTTTCAGGGGTTTCCAGAAGCTCTCAGGGGTTCTCAGGGGCTTCGGGAAGCTTCCAAGGGCTCCCGCGGTCTGTGCTGGGGTCCATTGCCCCAAGGGGCTCACAGGAGTTCCAGGGGCTACTAGTTCCTCCCAGAGGTACCCAAGATGTTGCCGGGTTCCAATTGGATGTTAGTGATTCTCAGATGCTTCCATAGGGGTCCGAGTGTTTCCTGCAGGCTCCCACGGGCTTTTGCATAGTGATATAGGTGCATGGTGGGGATTTAGGGTTTAGGGCCCCGCCCGCCCGACCCGCCCGTTAGGGCCCCGCCCGCCCGACCCGCCCGTTAGGGTCCCGCTCGCCCGACCCGCTCGTTAGGGTATAACATGAGAGGAGAGATGATCTTTATGTGGGGGTGGAGATGCGGGGGGGATTGATAGCCACCGCAGGTGGGTGCCAATGCAGGTAGGTCTTCTTGGCCTTGCCCTGTTAGACCCTAACCCTAAACCCTAAACCCTAAACCCTAAACCCTAACCCTAACCCGAACCCGAACCCGAACCCGAACCCAAAC